CATTAATATGGATCATGCCATACATTTCATTCACAGATTTAAAAATGCAGTGCAAAATGGGGCTAATATAATTTCCCGTTACGTCTACGTCTGTGGTAGTATGTCTGTACTTCCGTGAGCACACGCATGCATTTTCCTCTATAAGAATAGTGTAAAATTGGGAAACGCGCTGTGTGACAGTTCTGTATCTCCCAGGGACTGGACTAAATAGTTGTAGTGCACCAGGGATTTGACTACAGAATGGTGATATTTGCCTGTATTTTTTTTTCCCAGCAAGTCTCCATGATATGAGAGTTCCTTGCCTGTGTAGAGATTTACAGGAATTGTCAGGAAGATTTTTTCAGAGAGCTTGGCACTGGCACAGGGATCAGAGCAGCATCCTTGTTCGGCATTCAGAAAAACATGGCTGGAGCCATGTATTTTTTGAGTGACTAGGCCCACGCATGTTTTCACAAAAGGATTTGACAGGACTTGAATAAAGTTAGGACAGAGAGACCAGCAGATGGAACTGATGCTTGGCAGAAACACAAGGTAGAGCAGTTTGGAAACTTTGAATACAGAGATGCTTTGCTGGAGCTCTGAGCTTGGACTTCTACAAGTACAAACTTTGTTGCTGCCTTTGCTGTTAATCCATTACTGCCCACATTAACAAGAGGAATGACGTATGCAATAAATGAGATTTAGGATCTGTGTCCACATATTTCCTTCCCAAAGAAGATTTTGAACCATGGCAAAGGTTCAGTCACTCAGCAACTTCTTAGAACCTGAACTAGGTGTTTTATCCACAAATGTCCATATATACTGTATCTAACACCATACCCCATTATCCTGTACTTTCTGCATAGTAAACCTATATGATAGGTCTGAGTTTAGGGTGACGACATCATGGAAGGGTGGTAATGTCAGTAACATCCCTATACTGTAAAGGAGCAAGATTCATTTTGTATAGGCCATGCACAGCGCAAACAAACCCACCGTTTATATTTTGTAGGATTTAAGAACATAGACTACAGTGATAATGGGTGAAAAGAGACACTGTAACTTTTTTAAAAAGGTCTTCTATGAGTTTCTACATCTGCTAGATACATAAATGTCATAAAGAATCATATATCTTAACTATTACTGGCCCAGAGATCATCATTATTTGTTCTGGCAAGGGAAAGAAAACCTATGGTTATCATGCATATGTAAGATGTACACTGGCGCAGTACCTTCGAGTACACAAATAAGTAAACAAAGTTTTGACAAATCTATGTATGTATATATTTATACATCATGCAACTAACCACTAGTAAATGAGATGGGAAAAGTACTCTCATTCCTCACCTTCCTTGCTATTTAAAGAGAAATATTTTGTATATTTGATGGCACTGTCAATGATAATTTAAGAGCGCCACTATATTAAGTTTAAGAGCACTGCTTTTGATCTAGACATTTTTCAGTTCATTCAAGTCAATGAGAGTTCTGTATGTGAAAGGACGTCGGCGAGGTAAGATGTTATCCTCTAAGCCACTGAAACTCAAAAATTAGTTCAGAGAAAATGTAGGTATGCTATAAAGATGACACTAACGATTAAAAGTGCTGTGTTTTTTATAGACATAATAATCGCAACGAACAGGTTTTGCAAATGTAGAGAGATTGGAAATGCTGAATTGCAGTCATAACATTGCTCTCATTTCTGGTAGTTTCTAAAAGAGAAAACACACTTTCTATCACTACAGATCACACAGACTAGGTGCTAAAATAATAGCAGTTTGCTGAATCCCATTTCAGTTTCCAAACAGATAATTTTGGACAGGATATTGGACAAACTGCAGATACCTGAGGTACTCAAATACTAAAGGTGGCCTTTTTTGTTTATAATTACTTACGCTCCTAGAATGTGATCATCACGTAAGATACAAATCTGAACCGATACATGTATTTTCATCGCTATGGTATACTATCAACTTTTACAGCAACAGAAGAAGAACACACGTCTTTACAGTGTTTATAACAAGAAGAATTAAGGGAGGATATAAAGTGTCGAAGTTGTTACACAATTTCGTTGTTATGCAGGAAAAACTCCATAAAACACCCCATTTCAAAATCTGTTTCTTATTAGGCAGTTACATAAAAAGAGAATAAAAATACCATATGATTTGCTGATATGCCTTTCGTCCAGATCAGATTAGTTTATCTCTTTTCTCTATCCAAATGTAAGTACTTCAAAATGCATAGCTACAGCCCTTTTTTAGTAGGATTTGCAAAACAACTTTAATTTTTGAGAGCACTAGAAAAACTAAGCATCAAACTCTAAGCTCTTAAGTAGTGCATAGAATGTTCAAATTAAGAAATCGGTTATTGCCAAAAGCAGTGGTAACAAATGGGGTCTTTCGAACAAAGGCCTGATCCTGCCGTTGGCGCTCCCTTCTTGCACGCAATGTTTTCAACGTTTTGAACATAACTTGTGCACACAGGGTCATCCCCTGTAGATCTGTCCTCAAATTTAGATAAAATAAGGGAAGTGCTGAAGTTTCTGTGAACGCTTAAGTCTACTCTTTTTCAAGAAAGCACTTACATGCTGACGAGACCATAGAACACTTGCTTGTGTTAGAAACCTCCAATAAAGCAGAACTAATTTAATATCACCTGTTCCTTAAGTAACATAAACTTTGATCTATAGAAAGAGATACGTGCATACACAGCAAAAGGCACTGATGAGATCTGTTCTGGGATGCCTTACGTACATGTAGTCACGCATGCGCAAGGAGGTGAAAAGCGCAAGAGGAGAGCCATGAGAAGGACTGGGGAGGAGAGAGTCTCTCTACTTTTTGTGAGGAGACTGAGAAAACCTGGCTCGGTTAGTCGTACAGAATGAACGCCGAGAGAGGATATGATTGCAGTCTATTAATACATCCTGAGATAAACACCAGGGAGGGAGAAGAGCTATTTCAGTGGAGGACAATGTTGGCAGGAGAACAAATGAGTACGAAGTGGCCATGAGTTACACTTATCCCGGAAATTGGAAGATTTCTAATTATGAGAGGACTGAGGTTCTGGAGCAGCTTCCTACACCAGCAGTAGCGAGGGCAAAATACTGAAACGCTTCCCAACTAAGACTTGATCAGTTTACGAAAGGGACTGTATGATATGGCTGCCTGTAACTGTAGAAGACCGCGTGCAGTGAGCAAGCAGATGCCTCCCGGTCCTGCGTTCCTTCACTCATTACTTACTCGCTCATAGGCCAGCCACAGAGTACACTCTGTAGGAAGTCTTTTTCCTGGTTCACAGAGCAATTGAAGACGTTACTAGTGAAATCTTAAAAAAATTACATGGGAGGTGCAGTTTAAGTAAATTCATCTTCCTACAGGAACCTTAATTTGTTTGCATCTCCTGGATTTCTGTGGGTATGTCTTCAATTTTCATTAACTGTTCTTTAATCTCTAGTGCCTCAAACCATAAAAATACCTATGAAATAAATAATGCATTTCTGCTCCAACTCTGACACATGCACTTGGGACCGTCTGTGCGAGCTGCATCTTGCACATTTTGATTGTCAGGGGACCTGTTGCATTCATTTGATTCCTTACACAGCACGGCACAGCCATCTCCCACAGTTCAGCACTCTATTTTCTGCTGCATATTTAGTAGTTGTAGTCCTAATCTCCTTGTTAAGTAACATATGCTATTACATGGTCCTATCTCTACATTTTGCTGTAATATGCTAAACTAAGTACATTAAATGCAGGAATGTACAAACCGGAGTATTTTTGATCTCCTAGCAAGGAAAATTTCATATTTTTTTCCTAAAGAAAACTGCCTTACTCAATGTATATTGAAATAATATGAAATAAGAATATTTTCAAGTGCCACACCCAAGGCTGCAACTGTACTTTAATTCCACAGTTTTCATCAGAATTAATGAAAGATACACAGCCAGTTACTTGGGAGAAGAGAGTTTAGTCCGTGCATAGTCCTGCAACATAGTCCTGCAACAGCAGGAGGAATACACTCAGCTAAAGCTCCTCCGACATTAGACTTGATTTCATGCTGACCCTGCTCAGCTGGCAGATGCTTTTCCGCCTGTGTTTTGGCTTATATATGACTGACATCCTCAACAGTGAATTAACTGTAGTTAATTCTATGCAGAGTAATTCTGCTGAAAGTCACACATTAGGAGGCTAGGAGGTTAAAGCCATAGTGAAGTGGATGCCAGTAATGTCCACATCTGTATTTCTAGAGTATTGGCAGCAGTTTAATTCCCTTGGGACTCTACACAGAATAGTGTTGGAGTTGTGAAAGTTTAAGCCAGCAACACGCCTGCATCCAGCTGAAATTTGAGAGGATGGAGAAACCTCGCACACTGTCGCTTGGAGCCTCAGAAAAAAAAAAAAAAAATTGCAGATTGGTGAGTGTTTTTAGTGCACACTGGTTTATACCTCTTTACTAAGGAAATAAATATCGCCAGTTTTGCCACTACAAAAAAGTTCTGGGAGTCCAAGACCGCCACATTTGCCAAGTATAGCAAACCTCTTCTACGAGGCGGAAGACATTTTGCACCAGATAGACTTGGAGCTTGTGTCACTGCAACACTGATTCAAAGTCCTCATCCAGTGTAACAATTTCTTCTGCTCTAGCACATGTAACTTGTTATATTTTTATTAAGTGCCATTGCCAAACTGACTATACAGTGTGCTGCTTGAAAATGTATTTTACATAATCTCTGTGACAGAAAATTACATAGTAGCCATTTTTAAAGTTTCTGAAATCTACTTATCATGTGCCTACATGAATATCTTTTGTAAATCTTATTAGGCAAATGAAATAGCATATTTTTTCCATCAGCATTGTGATAAAGAATATATTAAAAGAACACATGGCTAGCTTGGCACTTTGTCAAGATATTTCTTCAGTGGTACTCACTCTAAAGAACTAGTTCAGTCAAATTCTGTGTTACTAAACCAAGGAATGGTGAAAATTCTCATGAAGATTTTTCCAGAATATTGTATATTCCTTACCTGTGGGCAGTCTTTAATGTAGTGTCCCTTGTTAAAGCAGAGGTGGCACAGGTAGTTAGGAGGTGGCCTCTTGCTGGGTTTTCTGGCTTCTGAAGAAAGGGATAGGTCAGAGAAATGCTCGGTGAGGGAGCTTAACCCATCCACAATGTTATTGAGAGAGCCATAAGGCGATGCGCTCTTGTACAGACTGCTGCTCAGAGCCTGCAAAAGAAAAGAAAAAAGTCACGTGAAACATCGTTCTGTATTAATGATTATTCTGAGACTGACCTGAGTAGGGGAAGTATAAAAATAGCAGAAAAAAATGTGATTTTTTTTTTCATTAAGAACACGGCTGCATATTTGAAGAGAGCAATATACAGGTCATTAATAAAGAGACTTCTTGAAGGCAGTGCAATGGAGCTGCTCACCCCACTGCTGAGGAAACTATTGAGCTTGCCATGGTTCACTTAGCCCAACCTTTCCACTAAGCAACGATTGCTTTCTTGTGTTTGATCATACCACTGTCATGGTATGGTCAGAATATGCAGGCAAAAAGCTGGAAGAACAACCCGCAAAAGGGAACGTTTTTGTGTCCAGAACTACTCACGCAAACAATACTAAAGTCAGGGAAAGGAAAAGAACACCAAGAAAAATGTAAAGTAATTTTTAATTTCCAGTCTGGTTAATAAGACAGCCCCGTGTTCAAACAATAAGAAACATGCAGATCTCTCTCTGTCTTGGATTTTCTAAGGGGGAACCTGCTGCGATTTAAACATTTCCTGATAAACAGTAAATACCTAGTTTTTGTACTTCACCTCAACAGGATCTTCACTCTCTCAATCTGCAAATCAAAATCAGGAGCTCCTAATTTGCCATTCTGTAGTTTTAGAACAGCAGGAAACCCATAATCACCTAAACAGCTAATCTCCCTAATGGAGATAACAAGGATTCATTCACTTTAACATGTGAAGGCTCAAAAGAAACTCTGTAGTAGGAGTTTAAAAAGTAAATAATAACTTTAAAAAAAAATTAATGTGGTAATGAGTTACTGTAGAAACAAGACCAACTATTGACAGTCCTCTCCACCCTGAAATGATGGGACACATTTCACAGGGTGTTTCTACGTTAGGTCTGATACACCTCGCAATACCGCGATGCTCATGTCATTCTCCTGGCATCAGAGAATTACTTCTGGCTTATGGGAAAGTGAGGTAAGAAGAGGTCCAATCTGTGCCTCTGCGGAGACCTGGTTTTTCAGTGCTATTAAATCCAAACATTTCAATGGAGTCTTTATATATGTCATATATGTCTTCATATGTTTATGTATGTTATATACATATTGCAGACATGCATTGAAATTGATTTAGAGATTTTGTGAAATAAATCTGAAATGGAATTACATTTATCTCAGAGATCTCAAACATTCAGGCTGTCTGCACAGTGAGTGTGTTTTCTGGGCAACAGTCACATACCGAAAGAATCATATGGAAGCTCTAGGCACGATTACCTGGGTGAGTCCCAACTATCACTGAATCCCATCCCACTGCAGATGGTGTATACTGTAAATAAAAATTCAGCCGAAGTGGCAGGCCATCACCATACAGATAATCCGCTTCACCCACCCTCACTGTAGTCAAACACAACGTGCTGAGCTCCACTGACCCCTCTTACAAAGCCGAAGCCGGTGCACGGCAGCAGGATCAGTTCAAAGGGCCACAGAGTCGAGTCTGTGGTCTCACGGGCGACTTCACACATCTCCTGGCACTGAAACGCCCGTTGTTTTACCCCCAGCACAGCACAGTTCTGTGCTGGTGCAAGACGTTCTGGCTGCTGAGAGGAGAATCGGTCACTTTGTTTCAGGGGTTAAACCCACACATTTTAAAAGGAAAAGCTATTTCAAGAACTAATGAAAATGTTTTAGCTGCTTTAGCCATCAAGCAACCAAAGATACCTCCAACGGTCACTGGAATTTATTTTCTAGGATTTATTGGACACTATTGGAATGAGAAATTCTTGGCATCAAATTGTTAAAAGGAAGTGGAAGTGCTATGGATGCCAAAATAGTGTTAATTAAGGGTCTTCAAGAAGTTCTTGTTTCCCTAGGAGCCACTTTCTCTTACATATACTTGGAATAATACAAGATCTTTCTTTTTAAGAGCCCCTCTTGCCAAGAGATTCTTAAAGTACTTCACATGCATTACACCCATCGGTAACTTTGCAAATTCCCTGTTATCTGATTTTTATAGAAGGGTGGGTGTATGGACACACAGAATGTGTGAAATCCCAAATTCTTTACCCATTGCCGAAATCTGGAACATCCCCTGGGGATGCAGAATGCATAACTCCCGCCCATCAGGAGGCTGCTATTTCTGCCCCCGGGGCTAACCCAGTAACAAAACAAAACATAACCTATCTGCTGCCTTCGGTAGGCTTTGAACCGGACATATGGCTCACAGTGGTGACTATTTTCTTTTCTACGTATCCTTTACACTGAGCTATTACCCCCATTATAAGGGAGCAATTTGGCACCATGACTGGATATGATGTAATTCACTCCTCCACCCACCCTTCTTGGCACGTTTCAGGTCAATACGGAAACATAAGGGTTGCAACGACCACAGTTTTGCCCACTGTCAGCAAACCTTTACAAACTTTTGTTTCAACCATGGCAGCCAGAAGCCTTGTCAAAGGCCAGGATCCCATCAGACTACAGGCTGTACTGACACTAAATCATCATCTTAGCAGCCACCAACGGCTCTGTGGCCGAAGCGTGACACATGGCTCTGGAAGTGGCCACCTGGTTCAGCTGGCAGGGCACTTGTGCGATACGTGCCAAAGTTGGACATGCCAAAACATCCAGTCTACCCACGCCACCATGAAACACTTCTCTGTAATCGTTTTGAGGCCCATTGTTAAAAAAGGAAAAGGCACAAATATAACATCCCAGAAGATGACACTAAGGGAGAAGACAGACATTGCCGACATCGCTTCAAAGAACAATGAATTCGTTAAGGAAAATTCCTAGATGATCCCAAGCTGCAGCCCATCCCTCCTGGTATAGAGTCAGGCAAACCGCTTCAACAGTTCCTCCCAATCTGACCTGGAAAATGGTCTTAAATCAGTTTAACTCTGAGTCAATGTGAAAAACACATCAATCTGGCACTTGAAAGATGCTATAAAGAGCACCGGCACAAACAGTGCTACATCCTGTTGCTAGCTG